AGCTGTTGAAAAGTGAGTGTAAATTATTGAAGTTCAATAAATCATTAGGTTTTAACAAATTTTTTACTTTCTTCAAAAAGTGATTTATTCACCAAAATTATGAAAATGATTCCATAGTCCATATTAATTTTACACGAGTATTCAGCGAAATTAACAAGTGAAATTTTCAACCAAAAGGAACAGAATAAAGAAAAGGGCGCAGTGAAGAGCAAAACACTGGTGCAAAGAAACGAGAAAAGTATAAAGACTAAAAGCAGTGAAGTCGTTAGGCCCATTTTGGGGGGTTTCTGAACCCATAGAATACAAGAGTTTTATTTTCATTTATTAAAATAGTTTTTTACGGAAAATTTTTAACAATTCAATATTGTGTGACTTGAAAATAGGTTTAAAATATAATCATAAAACCATTCATTATTGACTTGAATTTGATCATAAATTTTAAGGGGCTTAGCCCTCATGTCTTCAAAAACTTGAGGCTGTGACCCCACTTGTTCTGCTTAATTTGTCTTTTATTGAAGTCTTAAAAATTTCCTAGCGTTTCATTTGCTTATTTTATGATACTTACTTCCTATAACTCCACCCAAGGCACAATTTTAGAATATCTTCTGCCTGAATCTCTCAATTTGGGTTTACTGCAGGTGGGTTGAATAAATTTGAGTCTCTTCCAGTTTGAATTATTTTCATTGAGAATTCAGTGAGCAAAGCTTGTAAAAACCTGAAGTGGATCACATACTAAATCCACGGTGTGCAGGCCGTGGGTGATTGGAAGAAAAAAATAATTTGAAAAATTTCTCTGCAAATGGTTCAACAATTTAGCGACAGCGGAATTGAGAAACGACAAAATTTTGTTTCAGATCCCAATTGTTAGTTTTGTCTAATCTGGTATTAGGTTTAGAAAATCAGATGCATGCGAGTCCAACATGAGACGAATGCTTATAGTAATTGAAACTTATGAAAGTTTATAAATGCTCACTTAACTCGAACATTTAGGACACCATAGCGATTTCAATAGCCGTATGTATGAATTTTATTAATTTAAAACGTAGCGGTTTCTTTGTCTCTAACCTCATTTTCAGTCTGCATTCTCCTCCTTTGTATGTTTCGTCCAAAGGTTACGTCTTCTGGCAGACCGCTTGGCTCTCCGCCTTTGAAGTAAACGTCGCAGGACAGCCTGTGTACGTTTGGCCGGACGGCACCAGGGTCACCGACAAAGCCTTCAGCGCCAGTGACTTCAGAGGGCGCTTCGGTAACCCGGGCCCCAAGAGTCTTCTCAAACCCCACAACTTCATCGAACAAGTAGCCGAGAATCTGCTCCTCTCCTACCCAGTCTTGTGTTTCAAAAACGTTTAGACGGTCAACATTCAAGCATCTTGAGGATGACTGTGGGAGTTGCATTGCGGATCATCAGTAAAATGTTTCAACTATTGCAGAGCTTCTATCCTGAACTCGAGTAGCGTCTCTGTAACCTACGTTGGCAATTGGTAAATTCAAATAAAAATTTGCAAGTGGTTGATTCTTTTACTCGAAATTTCAGTTCAGGTTAGGAGGGTGCGGTGGAATAGCGAAGCTATAAGTCGAAGTTTAAAGTTCAAGCAGATTGTGACGATCCAGCCCGTTATTTCCTTTGCGATTGTTGACTTTACAACAGCTTTATTGCGCCACAAAGAGCTAGCCTCTTTATAGCGCCACACAGAGCTAGCCTCTTTATTGCGCCACACATGAATCTGGCCTCTTTATTTATTGCTCCACACAGAGCTAGCCTCTTTATTACACCACACAGAACTAGCCTCTTCCTTACACCACGAAGAGCTAGCCTCTATATTGCGCCACACAGAGCTAGCCTCTTTATTACACCACACAGAACTAGCCTCTTTATTACACCACGAAGAGCTAGCCTCTTTATTGCGCCACACAGAGCTAGCCTCTTTATTACACCACACAGAACTAGCCTCTTTCTTACACCACGAAGAGCTAGTCTCTTTATTGCGCCACACATGGATCTGGCCTTTTTATTGCGCCACAAAGCACTGGCCTCTTTACTGTGCCACACAGCAAAGGCTTCTTAATTGCATCACACATAAGTGGCCTCTTCATTACGCTACACAGCACTGACCTCTTTACAGCGCCACACAGAACTGGCACCTAAATTAGGACACACATAACTGGCCTCTTCATTACATCAAACATAAGTGGCCTCTTCATTATGACATAAAGAACTAGCCCCTTTATTACACCACACAGCACAGGCCTACTTATTGCGCCACACTGAGCTAGCCTCTTCATTGCGCTACAGAGCTAGCCTATTTATTGCGCCACGCAAAAGTAGCCTCTTTATTACTTCACACAGAACCAGCATCATTTTTACACCACACAGAACTAGCATTATTTTTGCACCACACAGAGCTAGCCTCTGTATTACACCACACAGAACTAGCATCATTTTTACGCCACACAGAACTAGCCTCTGTATTACGCCACACAGGACTAGCATCATTTTTACACCACACAGAGCTATCCTCTGTATTACACCACACAGAACTAGCATCATTTTTACACCACACAGAACTAGCCTCTTCACTACACCACACAGAACTAGCATCATTTTTACACCATACAAAAGTTTCGTTTTGTTCTGCCGCCGCGATTCTCCCTAAACGAGTCTAAAGCAAGAGTGCAGGCAGACGTGTCATGGGAGGTAATCGCTCAATTATGGTGAGCGACGCTGGACTAACGGATGCATGATCATGAGTTAACTATAAGGTAATATTACTTTGCACCTCAGTATTGGAATTATAGCGGTCCTGTATTGTTGTAATTCGCTGGACTGCTCACTAGATCATTCTCTGTGTGTTGAATTTGGATTGTCGAGAGCAGACACACCGATCTAATTTTGTCCGACACTCCTCTGTAGTTATCCATTATTAGAGTTCTATTCTTAGATAGTATTATAATAATAATAGCTATACTGGCACCTGCCTTACTTTATGGTAATCTTAACTTGCATGCGTAGAATCGATTAAGAAATGTGCGCTGGTGCTTGTGTTTGTTTACGCTATGGTTTTCATATCATTGATTCTCGTTTTTTCAATGGATCAATGAAGAGTTAAAATGTTTTGATGTTGTACACTTAATTGTAAATATTTTTGAGGCGAAAAGAATATATGAAATCGCTTGTTGCATTAAGGGCCTTTTTGCCCATGACACTGTCTCATGATCTTACTATTAAATACCTAATTGGCAATTTATTGTTCGTTTCGCATCTTTATTGTGCACATCATTACACTTTCTTCGTTGCTTTCACTGTGTGAGAACTTTGGATATTACGATAGCTTATGGATCGGAACTTACAACCATCGCTAAATAGTCTCCGAGGTTGGCAGCGATGGACCATCAGGTCACGTCTACCTCCAATTCAGTAGCCATACCTGCAGGTCGACCGATGCAGTAACCAGTCGGTCACTTCTAATACAAAATCATCAGGTTTATTAAATTGATAGTACCAAGTCTGATCGCTTAACCCCTTCATTCGTGTGGCGTATATAAATGTGTCTTTACTCGTGTTTGTTAACTATAACGAAGATATAGAGAAAAAAGAAGTCATCCATATTTTTATTTTCCTTCAACGAAATCATAAGCCGGCTAGCGACCTTTAATTGAATAAATTGCGTGCATGGAACAGTAAAATCATTTACTTCATCAGAAATAGAAATAAATCCTTCCGGCTCCAAGTTAGCATAAAATTTTAAACTCAAGAAATTAGCGTCATGACTCTGGCAGCCAGTCACTTTCAATCTGAACCCACCAATCCCAGACGATAAATCTGAGACTACGTGAACTTACGCGGGTTTTGACAGGACGGCCCCAGGAAGGAGGCTCTCAAGTCGCCCCGTAACGGGTTCGTATTGCCGACAGAGTTGGCCAGCATGGCTCTAGAACTAGGGAATATTTGAAGGCTTCGACGAGGCATTCCGTGTAACTTATCCCCTGCTGAAGCTATTATAAAATGTTAACACCGAGTATGACACGAGTATCCCACACAGCAAAACAAGGGTTAGATGTCATATTCCATTCCTAAAAAATTACCGGTAGTGATTGCATAACTACTAATGGTGCATGAATGCCAGTTGCTGTATTGTTCACTGCCATTAAACTTGTGGCCGAAAATATCCACATAGATTTATATCTGTATTGCTCTATACATAAATATATGGATAATTCACGCAATGGTAAATTTAGAACATACGAATGAATAAATTTAATTTTTTAAGTTGTTCTCAAGAATTATTAAAACCACTTAATGAATAGTTCCAGCTGTGCGTGATCACTGAGTAATAACGCATCAAATTGAGTAATTACTGAAAAATGGTACGCACGTCTCGAACCATTAGAATAACAATTCATGTTGAACCATTAGTCGGATATTTCAAGTCTAGCTTTCCTCATTCGGACATCAGAAGTTTTATGCGCTGCTATAATGGTTTGGGAAATATAGCCCAGCTAACTGATATATCTTCTGATTTAACTCGAGTTCATTCTTTAGCAATCAAATCATGAATATCGTGCCGACAATTTTATCATTGCTGGTATTTCGAACTGAATTTGTAGCCTCTTCTTGGTCGTCACTAACAGCTGAGAGCCAAAGTTCCGGGAATCTTCCAGTCTTGCGGGCAGTTTTGACCAAAGAACTTGACAGTCACGGCAAATCCCTTCGCTGGTCGCTGGCTTCTGATCATCGAATGATTCGGTCGGTCCCGCAGCGCAGCAGATTTCGTGGTCAGGTACCGAGACGCGCGTGAAATTACGCCTGAAATGAAAATTAAAATGAAATTATAAACTTGCTCTATTTGACGACCAGCTTTTGTTCGCCTGCGAACTGAAAACTCGATTCTCGTTCTAAAATCTGGGTAGACTGCCATGATTAATTTTCGTATTATAATAGGACAGTACGTAATATTTGTGAATTTCAAGCAGTGTTTCCTCTGAAAATAAGTATGAGCGAAATGCACATAGCGCGCTATTACCTGCTGCTTGTCGCCGTCCTGGCAGCAGGGACGACCCACGCAGCGGCGGACGTGTACGTGACGAAGCTGGACGATGAGCAGCTGCACAGCCCCGTCAGCGAGACGCTGCACGTCATTGACGAGTGTAAGTGCAGCTAAATTATTTCTATTATCTTCACTTACGTTAATCATATATTGATCTCTGAAAGAGTGTATCAAATTTTATAGGCGTGTTTATTGCCCATTATTCAATTCCTAGAGTTATAATTCGATGTCATCTCATTGGTGGGCTTGTATATGAACTCGTAATCATCAATATGAGGCGTGATTTTTATTGATGGCAATCGCAACATGTCTATACACAGCATTTAAAGTCTGCTCCGACATTTTAGGTCACTTCTTTTGAAATGCACATCAACCTAGAGACACGTAGCCGACATATAATGAACTTTGGCTAACAAAAATGTCCTACAATCAATCTGTCCAGCAATCTTATCATCATCATTAATGAGACCGGCAATCTAATCTTCAACAATCTGACCGGCGATGTGATTTTCATTAATCAGGCCGGTAATGTGATATGCATCAATGCGATATGCATCAATGTGATATGTATCAATGTGATATGCAACAATGTGATGGGGAATTCGTTCATCACCCGCGTAAAATCATTGTACTTTCACCATAAATCTCATTCTTGCATAGTTTCGATGTATTTCTCGAATTTTTCTATGTGTGCATAAATTGCGTGAAGAATCACACAAGCGAAAGATTAAAAATCCGTCTATTATCTCTTGATTCTCGCGCTTTCATATCTACCGCACATAAATTTATCCATGGTTCGATAAAAAATCTAAATCATTTGTTGAGATGCCATATAAATCTTTCCATCGATAGTTGAGGTTCGAGGCAATTCATCGTCTGCAGGTCAGTAGTAGAAAGTAGATGCTATAGTGAAATCTGTTTTAAGAGGCTCTAGCTCGTTCACTATTTTCTCGGAATTTGATCTACAATCTACGATCACAAGCATCCTAAAACAGCTCAACCCAGTGGGATGACGAGCTCGCGTTTAACGTGTCTGGTGAAAAGAAGCGCAACAAGAGCACTGGCGCCCAGAGTGAAAAGATACGTGAAACATGTACGAATGATTTTTAAAACAGTTACCTCCTCAGCTGTTGCAATTTTCATCTTCCACTCTCGTATCATACAATTTTCTGAAGCCTTGGGAGAGCCAATTAGTCATACTCGCTGACTCCCTTCATCGAGAAACTTGGGTCCATTCTACCAGACGTATATATTTTACTATCATTCAGGGTAGACGGAGATTGACTGCCTGACTTTGAAATCACGTTTTTAGAGAATTGAGTAGCTTCGAAGTAACGTGATGTGAAGGCTGTTTTATGTTGATGACGTGAAGAGACTCATCATCATTGACAGTCGGACACCCATCAATTTTGGCGTTTGCTGAGGCGGCCATTGTGTAAGAGGTTGCTTTTCTGGTACACCTCTTATACGTATAATAATTATATGAAAGGCCTGAGGTTAGTTCGGGTTTATTATGTGATCAAAGGATAAATGAGGCACAGAGTAAAATAGCCACTGTAAAATAGCCACCATGAGCCACTGTAAGAGGTTGCTTTTCTGGTGCACCTCTTATATGTATAATAATTATATGAGAGGCCTGAGGTTAGTTCGGGTTTATTATGTGATAAGAGGATAAATGAGGCACGGAGTAAAGAACAACAGAGTACTTTTTTATAGAGTAACACAGCTTACAGTTTATGGGATTACAGATAGAAGTGTGAGTTTAACACATTTGTCTACGCTCACGACTCGAAGGGGAATGAGCCGAAGAACCTATACTCGGCAGTTCTCGGTCTTGACTGACGCTTCTCGCTTGGTCAGAGAGCTATATCTCGTACAGTGAGTTACGTCGTAACTGAGAATAGACAAAAGAATGAACCTATCTAATTTCGGATGGCAGCTATCAATGGGGTAGCTTACAATTGCTGCAGCTACGACCTTTAGCACCTGAGGGCCGTACACATCAATACAGAAGTTTCATGATGTTCCATGGTGACTCCTGGCGTCTCCAGCGCTTGCATGACCACTGCTCGTTCAGAAACCTCTCCGCGCTGCACAGATCAGTTTCTTGCTTCCCTTATCAAATGAATTCGGTTTCCATGGACCAAGGACAATAAGCCGAAAAAAACTGGAACGCGCAGCGACCTAATTTATACGAGATAAATCGATTGTTTTGTTTGATGGCATATTTTAACGTGGGCAGAGTGGGCCAGTGGTTACAGTTCAGAGTACCAAGATTGGCGCTGAAAGGCGCGGGTTCGATCCCAGCTCAGTGTGCCAGTTTCTGGTCAGAATCGGCAAGGAGGCCGAGCGATTATGCACAGCAGAATTGTAGCAGTGAGTTGCGAGTTCGAGACCGCAAGAAGCTGTGAATGTTCTGCGATGTTTAGAATTGGCGACAGGCCTACGGCCTAATAAACGCTGACACCACTATTATTATTATCTATTATTATTATTATCATAAGTAAAACTTATATCAGCGTTCAACATAACAACAAGGAATATCGCAATCCTATCAACGATAATGGCCCGTATGCTAAATAGGGCACTAGCACTACGAAGTGTCCTGTTGGTATGCTAAATATGTCACAGACACTAAGCACTTCGAAGTTGCCCTACAACGTTTAGTGTCGCACTACTGATTCGTATGCAGAAAGACTTTGAAGTGCTATTTTGCTGAGTACTAGAGTAAGTGTTAGAGAGTACTTCGCTGTAAGAGTACTACGTGTTAGAGTAAGTGCCGCACTACGCTATGAGTCTATTGAAGAATGGTAGTTAAGTGCACAAATAATTAATTATTCCCTAAGTAATTCTCATTCTTTGCAGAAGATTGATGTAAAGTGTCTAATTGTGATGGTAATGGTACTAGTGAAAACAGAATTGCGAAAAACTCGTGCGTCGTGAGTACATTTTGGCCATTGGATGTCAACCGCTGTGAATTTTTCATTCACGCCGCATGTCACATGAGCATTGATGGAATGAAATCCTTTTCGACAGATACATATATTCGTCTGGATGATATCGCGCTTCAGGTTTCTGTATGGGGATCAATGTTCCGTCGATCACACTGATGGCATACGGGTGAGTGAATCGCATTCCCCAGTTTTGTTGGGCTTCCCGTAATTCTTCTGCAGTCGTGGGAAAATGTAAATAATCCATGCACTTAGAAGCTATTTTCTCAGCTACCTCGAAGATGACCTAACTTATAGTGGACTGATTGACGGATATTTTTTCGCCCACATCAATCTGGTATCCAGGATCTCCAACAGACCTGAGGAAACACTCCAGTTTTTCCTTTCTTGTTAAAGAATACCCACGCTGTTAATCTGTTTCGCCAAGGAAACTGATAGCCATTAGAGTTACATGTTGTTCACTGAAGCGGTACACTTTTTATATTCTTGGCAGGTAGTTCCAGAGGTTTTTACGTGATTACGTGATGATGCTTTTGCTGTAAGCCAAACAGATCCATAGCTGACGAAGTAAACAAGGTGAAATATACCGTAGTGTCGTCGTGAAGTGCGGTGTGTAGGACACTTCAGATTTTTGTAGTGCGCGTTATGCTTTTGGCCCTATTTAGCATACCAACCGTAGAGTTCCATGTCGCACTACGGCTTGTAGTGCGCAGTGCTACTTCGTAGTGCTAGTGCCCTTTTTAGCATACGGGCCGTTGTCTGTAACTGTGCTCTTAACTTCATTGAAACCGAAAGAAACGAATATATGTGAATTTGCTCACAAATTTCTGGAAATAAAAATGAAATAAATTCATACTAATCACCTGCAGCCTGATATCTGGGTTTATTCCACATCAACCAAATAATTCACTCAAACTTTATCATTACATAGAGCGAATAATTCCACCATCAAGGGCTGTAAAATTCATGCAAGGCTAAACCTCGTGTGCCACGCGTGAGCGGCTGCCTTGTGTCCAGGCGAGTGCCACATGCGGTGCCAGCAGCGAAGCGGGTGTACCGGCGGCTCCTACGACCCCGTGGCTGACGTCTGCCGCCTCACTGACGGCGACGCGACCACCGTGACCACCCGACCTCTGGCCGGCAGCTCGGCCTTCTTCAAGTTCTGTGAGTGTTCTGCCTGGCCTTCTTCAAGTTCCGTGAGTGTTCTGCCTGGCCTTCTTCAAGTTCCGTGAGTGTTGTGCCTGACCTTCTTCAAGTTCCATTAGTCGTCTGCCTGGCCTTCTTCAAGTTCCGTGAGTGTTCTGCCTGGCCTTCTTCAAGTTCCGCGAGTGTTCTGTCTGGCCTTCTTCAAGTTCCGTGAGTGTTGTGCCTGGCCTTCTTCAACTTCCGTGCATGGTCCGACTGGCCTTCTTCAAGTTACGTGAGTGTTGTGCCTGGCCTTATTCAAGTTCCGTGAGTGTTGTGCCTGTCCTTCTTGAAGTTCCGTGAGTGGTCTGCCTGGCCTTCTTCAATTTCCGTGAGAATGCCTTGCCTTCTTAAAGTTGCGTGAGTTATTTCGATTTAAAACCAAGGGGTTTCCAGAAGATACTTTTATTTACCGAACGACTTCTCGGATCCAGTTTGTTCCAGAATTAAGTCAAGCAGGTTGACAATAGGACTGGAAATAAAGTTAAACAGCTTAGTCGACGATCTGTACAGGTTCTTCATAACAGACGAATACATGACCCAACATAACTGTAAAATAAACATACTAATCCTTCACATTCCAGCTATTGAAAGTTAATTCAAATGGCTGTCAAATATTTGAATAATGGACATTTAACTAATAAGGAAGCAATGAACCACACACCTCAATGACAGGTAAGTGGCAAAATTATAGTTAAGTTTTGCGGTCTTGAGCCAAAAAAAGTTGCAGACGAACACCACCAGAGTAATAGTTATTCTATGGGAAGAAAGATACTATAGGTTTCAAACGCGTGTAAACAATCCAGAAACAGTGATCTTGATCAATACTCATCTTTATTGCATTGTTTCACAAATTTATAGCAACCTTTCAAACCCACCTTAAAATCTTTTGCGACTAAGCGGTAAACAATTTTAAGAGGCAAGTAATAGGCCATATACAGGGAAAATTATAAAAGTAGAAGGCGAGGTAGACTCCGAAGCAATAATAAATTTAGCTCGAAGAAGAACTCGGTACTTTGTATCATGGTAGGAGCATATATATTGAGGAATTTAATTTAAATTTATAAGCCTACGGCCAAGGTGGTTATACCACAGTATAGGGCAATGCCCAAGATTAAGTCGGGGTCTGCTTCCTAAGCAAAGTAAGAGCGAACATGCATTTAAACCTAAATAAACATAACGAAAACTGAGAATGATCACTCTAACAAAAAAAAATAGAATTCAAAAGGTTGGCGGTAAATACAGACTGCCGAAGTGCGTCCAAGTAAGTCGGTGCATTCACCATAAAGTTATAATGCCCACTTCTTCTATATACAAACCCATACCTAACGATAGGTATGGAGAAAAATTACTCCAGAATTTGCTATATAAGAAATAAGGAAATTTCTAAAAACTATTATTTATCTCTGTTTGAATTGTGAGTAATGCAGGAGTAATACAGTAATTATCGAATTGGATTAATGCAGGAGAGTTATTATGTATTATTAAGGCAGTGCACATTATTATCCATGGCTTCCATGTAAATATTTGAGAGTAGGGAACTGAGGGAGGATGATGAATGCTGCAATGCAAGTGCCACTTTTTGCTTTTTACTCTAAGAATACTCATTTTTTTTCGCCATTTGTCTCTCTTGTCTAGAAATCAAAGATGAAAACTGTTTGGCCTAATCTTGGCTACGCTGTATTTCAAATTTATTTTGATGCGAATTACATCTTTTTAGAAAGTCGTGCAACAGACCTTACAGTTGCCTAGATTAGACTATATAGTTAAATTCCGGCATCAAAGTCCGTAGACTTTATACCTCATGTTCCGTGGTGGTTCTGCTGTCGCAGCGCGTTATCATTAATGTCATCTGAGGTATGGTAGCTTTTAAATTAATGTGTAAGAATTGAAAATTTTATAATTATTTCAAGTTAGTTAGTTTCTTCTACTTTATTGAGGATTCTCAGTGATAGTTTAAAACAAGTCTAGAATGTTGGAATGTTTATGTTCCTCAAATATTCTTTTAAATTTTATAATTTAGTTAACGGCTGGCACTAACTCCTACATTACTTCACAGAAGATCACATACATTTTACAGTAAGTGCTCACCTGGGCAATGAACGCTTGCAGTAGGACGCACTAAAAGTCACAAAATTTTAGGCTGGTAGCACCCTTGATAATTTTAAAACAATTTATAACCAATTTGCCTTCATAAGGCGTCCCACTCATTGCAAATACGACAATTATGTTAATTTTTGGTAGCCATGTTACGAGCTCGGGGGGCGTCTGTCTCTCGGCCCCCTGTCACCTCCTCAGCTGAGTGGGCGAGCCCATGGGCGAGCCAGGGGTGCTCAGTGAACCCAAGATGGCGGCCTGTTGTAAGTAGTGAGAAATATACATGCCTGTAAAATTAAATAATATTGATGATATTTTAATTTTTGAATCGATTAATTCATTTTTACAACACTTCTCTTCAACTGCACTCCTTGTTTGTTTGTTTGTTTGTTTGTTTATCTGTCTGCTACAAATCTTATAATCGATAATTTTCACACTTCTACCTTTCCAATCGATCTGAAATTTTGCACACTTGCGTGAAGTCGGAGACAATGCTCGAATCTAGTGACAGAATAAGTAATTTTGAAAATCAATTAATTTGTCTATTAAAAAAATTAAAATTATATTTTTTTATCTATCAAAATAAAGTAAGAAATTCATTGTACATGTGTAATATCGGAGACACTGGCCTATTCAGAAGAATTGACTTAAAAAAGTAATTTTTAGACGCCAATTATTACTACAATTCTCTTCAACTTCACTTCTTGTTTGTCTGTCTCCTACAAATCTTATAATCGATTTTTAACACACTTCTACATGTCCAATTGATCTGAAATTTTGCACATTTGGTTAAAGTCGGAGACAATGCATGAATTATTCAACAAAATAAAATAACATCTGAAAAAATTAATTGTTTAAAATATTAATAAATAAATAAAATAAGTAAAATAAAAAATGCATTGTAAACGTGTAACATCGATATTGGCCTCTTAAGAAGTGTGGTTTCTAAAAATTTATTAAAAAAATTTAACGCATAATAATATTAATACCGCATAATAAAAAAAATTAAACGCATATTAATTGTTCTAATTTTCAGTTGATGTTCATTCCGAATAACTCTTTCAGGAACCTGGTGCTTAGGTAAATGACGAGTAGCTACAATATTTATACGTGCGAAATTAATAAATAATTTTCAGACGTAACGCAATTCAAATACAAGTTCCAACTTTATAGATCTTGGAACAGTTTGGTGTAGTGGTTAAAGGCATTGTTTTGAGCTAGTGGGATGGATCTGGAAGTCGAGGGTTCGAATCCCGGGTTGGGACTTCTGACGAAGTTGCCTCTTCTGAAAAACCTCCTACCTTAGCTGGGGCATCGAACTCACGCCCCCCAGACCCCACCGCATAGTTCAAGCAATAGGAATTATTCACCACATACATCTGTCATGCCCCCCTTGGGAAATGTATAAATATAATGGCGCAATCTTCCTTAGGTAGGGTGTAGCTATAGGTAGCGACCGAGCTGTAGGTAAACGGGTTACGTAGATGGGGGGCGAAAAAATTTGTCCGTATCCATGTTACTGAAGTAAGATGCTCCTTATTGGTCGCTCATAAATGAGTCAACTAAGTTATTTTAAATCTTAAATTTAACAGCACTCAAGCAAACTTGAGCAAAACCGGCTAATTGCGAATGAGGAAATATCCCTGATGACCATCACCGTAGTCATTTAAGATCATCAAAATGTTGTCTGAGAATCGGTCTACAGTTTTCGTTATTCGAGCTCCGATATTCACTACTCCTAGTTTGTATTTCATATTTATTTTGTACGTGTTAATTTGAGTCTTCAGTACAATTTTTACCGCTACATGGTAAATTTTTCCGGGGCAGTATGCTCCAAATGGGAGCTTAGGGTAGGAAGGTGTGCTGGAAAGACAAGCCACCCACCTGTACCTCACCCATAACCCCCCTGCTGCTGGCGCCGGCAGTATGTATATACGCGCCTCGCTGTGGTAGGATACCACCTGTAGGGCAGACAAAAACGTGTCTCGCGCCGCTGCATACCTAAACGTGCTGCATACCTAACGTCTTTCAGCTAACGTCCGGAATGATGACGTCCACCTTATTGACGTCTGGGCTACTGACGTGTGCCAAAAAGCTGGGCTATTGGCGGGTAAACGTAACGTAACGTAAACTAAATTGCAGCAATCTGACGTCTAGGTTATTTGAATGTAGCCACCTCGCGTCTGGGTTCTGGACTACTCAGTATAGTGAAACGTTGTCAGCGTTGAAGAATAGCTTAAACTAGTCCGGTGGACCGGAGCAAAATGATAAAAACTAAAAGGAACCCTGAAACGTCGAGACAACATGAAATTTTGCAAACGAAATTAAAAAATACGAAATTTTGAAATTTCTGACGAGACGCTGTATACGACGAGACGTGTAATTCCAGCAGGGTCTCAAGAAAACTTGATTTTCTGATTGCTCTAATTGATTTGGAATGATTTGAAACGTCCAGAAAACCTAAAAAAATTTACCGATCGACATTTCTGGAACAAATTCATATCAGGTCCGACGGACCCCGGTAAGAGCCAGCGATCCCGGAATAGCAAATTCGGGTCTCCTAATACTAAACTAATCGATAGATATTTGTTTAACACGTTTAAAAACATAAAAAAAAGTTATATCGAAAGATTAACATTTCTATATCCCGAACACGCTGGCCCGGAATCGCCAGATCAGCTAGGAATTTTTTTTTTTTTGTAAATAAAATTTTGAACATGTGGTCTGCACTTCTACTATTTTCTAAAATACAACGGCTCCAAACCACACTTCATTTTAAATTGAAAATCTCGGAGTTTCAAATAGGATTGAATTTTTCCTACCTGTTGCTGAAATCTCACACCAACAAAAGGAAAAATTTTAAATACTTTTGAAATCTTGCGGCCCATATCGGGCCGGAAAGCTCCAGTCGCGGCTCGAACAGCAGATATACATATTGCACGCCTGGTTCCAAAGTCATGTGATACGGTTTGATCAAAAATTGTGCAACTCACAGATATGTCCTTCTAACAACATTTGATGGTCTGCAGTTTAGTTCCACTCACCCGATAAAAAAATCCTCCTTACCGAATGTTTTTATCTAAAGATCTTTGGTGACGCACAAATAGCAAAATTCACGTCACCAGAAGATCTTGCCGACACATTAGTCTCGCTATTGTTACCGCACTGCGATGCGCATCGCGATTGCGCGATGATCAGCATGGACGTATGCGTTGTACGACCGATATGGCCGAGGTAGGGTGATCGGCACAGACAAGCGCACATTACCATCGATGTGCAATGATCGACACAGATATACGCGCATTAATTACGATCGATATGACCGATGCGCGATTATCAGAGACAAACGCGAATTACGATCGATATGACCGATGTGCGATGATCGGCGTTGTGGGTTATCACTCTGTTGCCGGGAGGCATCTCCCATTTTAACCCTTAACAAATCTGTATTTTACTACATTATTTTTGAGTAACTTTCATATTCAAGTCATTACTTTCTTCTTCATTTGTTTCGCGGTACTCATTTCCAAACTAGTGACAGTTACATTCAGTACAGTTCCACCATTTAAAAACCAGCAGCGCAGTGTGTGTTAAGCCACACTAACAGAGTAATACTAACAGTGTGTTAAGCAGCACTGAAATTACATGTCTTGGTGAGTCGGCTCTCCGAAATTAGAACCACATTTTTATGCTCTCATTTACTCAGTTTTATTGATTATTTAAATTCTTGCATTACTATTATTTATGTTTGTTTATATAACGCACCTGACTGCGGTTAATGGTTTTTCGCATATTTCCGTGTAACAATTCATTTGATTTGTCTTGATTGTTTGAACGATTGTCTTGTTTGAACTACATGATTATTTCTTGTTCAATTGTCACATGGTTTGAATGCATTTTAGTCATAATAAGTAATTTTACTTTTCTGGCATTGGTTGAGGAAAAGTACATAAATGGTTATTTTTGCTTGCATATTCTTCAATTAGCACGTGGATTGTTAAGGTTTTAATGTTGCTTTTATTTGTATTGCAGTGCACTAGAGTTCAGTGTCACAGACTCTAAAGTGAACTATAACGTGCTTGTCCCAGCCGTTAGCTCACGGTAAGATATTTTTATCATCTCCAGCGGGATTGTACACATTCTTTACTCTACAAACACTATTTTTCAAAACACAAACTTGCAATATGGCATCAAATAAGTACCTAGGGTGGCCAATTGTGGGCATATAATGGACTGTAATCGGTTGCCAGATCAAGCGGCTGCGAAGGGCAGTCTGAGCCTTAGAGCCTGAGCAAAGGTCGAGTGCTTTTGCCGAACCGTTGGCATCCATCCGTCCTAAAACTACGGCATTGATGACGTCTACTGAAATCCAAAAGGCTCCTGCATTAACTTCCAATGACCAGCCACCTACAACAGCAGTAATTGCCGAACAAAATCCAGTGTCCAACCACGTAGCAGTGGCATCATTGATTTCAGATTGGAAGTATTGGATCAGTTAACATGCTAAGCCAAGTTGCAGCTCAGCATGCTGCTGAACTACTTAAAATGAGTGATGATCTACTCACAGATGTACACAAATTGTCTTAGGATCCTCCACAGTCACCAACAGAGGTCTGCAGGTGTTGGCAGCAGCATCTTTCGAGCGTAGTCTCTTGCACGATACGGCAATCCTTCTGCTGCCGCTGATGTGGCCTCCACCTAACAAGATGCGCGGCGCAGTTATGTCGGCCTTCTTCGTTCTAAAAGATAGTCATCTTGGCGCCAGAGAATCGACGAGCAACGCAGCGATCCTCGAGTGCTGTGGCGTTCGCTGGATAAACTCATGGCAATAGGTCAAACAGAGGCTTCAGGTGACGTAAGCGTGGAGGATTTCCATGCGGTTTTTAAAAACAAAATTTCTCCTGTGCGAACAACGTCGTACGATGCTCCGCCGGCAGCATTTGCCTCGTGCCTGTTCGCCTGTGTGCTCCAAGAATTCACTCGCGTCACAGCTGGCGACATCATCGCTGCAGTGCGCGTGCTGCCCAAAAACAGCAGTTTGCTTGCGATCCGCTGCCGACGTCGTTACTTAAGGGGAATGTTGTAACCAGATGTGGGCAGTAGCGCGCTACATGTAGCGGCCGCTACATTTTCAGTAGCGGTAGTGGCGCTACATTTAAGGCAATGTAGCGGTACATATTTAAGTAGCGATACGAGGTTTTGCCGCTACAGCGCTACCGCTACATTTACAGATAAAGCCTTTTGATTTTATTTAATAGTATTAAATATCATTTAAAAACCAGCATGATACATACATAATATAAATTACAGAATAACACTCTGCGAAAGATTTCGGTGTAATGTTATCAACCTCAGCCTGTTACTAGTTTCCACATGTTAGTTGTTACTTGTTAAGTTGTTACCAGTTACCACATACAGGTATTTTTTCTTGTTTCAGTTTGCTTACAGTTATTTTTTCACAATTATTTTTATGTTTCACCTCCCCTGCATGGATGTCTACATTAATCTAACATTCTCAAAAATAATCCACATATACAGGGTGACCCCCCAAAAATGGCTAAAGGTAAAGGCTTATAACTGGAAAAGTATTAAACGTATAATACTAACGTATAATATAATAATGCTAACGTATAATATAATGTATAATATAATAAAATAAAACGTAGTAAACCACATGAAAGAGTATAACTTCAAGTTTTATTCAGATTACAATAAATGTTCAAAATGACCTTGCTGTTGAATACGCAGCTTAATACGTTTTTCAAAATTTACGGTTACTGCAGACTAGGTATCCTGGTCAATAAGTTCGAGAGCTACACGAATTGCTATCTTCAGATTGTCAATACAGCTTGCTCTTGTACTGAATACTTTTTCTTTACATAACACCATAAAGAAATCCAAAGGCGATTCATTAATTCTTTCTTCAATCATGGCAATGTTTTCTTCTGATCTTTCAGTTATTTGCCGTCCAGAATGACCTATATCTTGATTCAGGATCGTTCCTTTATCTTTCCACTGACGTGTCCACTTCTTGATTGTGTTGAGCCTAACTTCTTGTCTGTATTTGGTGGAATAACCTCTCTTTATTTTGGTTGGTGAAGTTTTCAGGTAAAATTGTTCGACAATGAAAACTCGTTGCTCAGAATTTAGCTGCATTGTAGGGGAATCTTGATCTTGAAAAATAATAAGTTTTAAATATGAAATATATAGAGAACTTTGGTGACGTGGATATCAAATAAAACTTGAAGTTATACTCTTTCATGTGGTTTTTATTAATTTTTTCATCTATCTACGCTTAATACTTTTCGAATTACAAGCCTTTACTTTTAGCAACTTTCTTTGGGTCACCCTGTATATACAAATAAAAGACTGATTTTTTATATGTATATGTGGATAATTTTTCAGATTGGTAGATTAAAGTAGACATCCATGTAGGGAAGGTAAAACATAACAATAACTGTAACTCTTATTTACTGTATCTAACCCGTACTTGTTCGGTTAGGTTAATTGCAATAAAGTTGAATTGATATGTTTTGAAAATATTTTATAATCATTAAATGTTTATGAGTAAATCCCAATAGCAGAACAATAAATATTTAGAGATTTCCAATAATTTTGGCCATTGTAGCGGCTAATGTAGCGGCGCTACATTTTACTGTAGCGGTAGAGTCCGCTACATCTAGAGCATGTAGCGGTAGCGGTAGCGGCGCTACATTTCAAAGTAGCGCTGCCCAGCTCTGGTTGTAATCCTAGCACCTTTACTGGTCGAACTTTTCAACCGCTGCCTCACTGACGATGTTGTTCCGATGAACTTCAAATCAGCTCACATTAGGCCTCTTAAAAAAAACAGGCCTTGACACTTCCGATCCCAAATCATATCTACCATCTCCAACCTGTCCATTTTGTCGAAACTCCTGGAACGCGTTGTATCACCACAGCTGAACAACCATCTTCAGCAGTCCGCTCTCATTACTCGCTTCCAGTCTGCATGCAGACCGTCTTTTCTACTCGACGGGACGGAAATCGCTGTGATTAAGGTGCTTTCGGACATTCTGCCCGCAGTAGACCGTGGCGACATTGCGGCACTAGCTTTACTCGACCTGTTGGCCGCGTTTGACACGGTCGACTACTCTACTTCATTGCGTCGATTTGACTCATCATTCGGCCTGCGTGGCACAGTATTGCTGTGGTTTGAGTCCTATCACAGCAGTAGATTCCAATGAGTTCGACATGGAAACTCTTCTTCTACGCCACCGTTGGTCACTTGCGGCGTAGTACAGGGATCAGTTCTCGGCCCGATCCTCTTCCTGTTATATAGGTACTGTCAACGTATTGCATATAATCGATCCACATAGTTTGAATCCGCATATGTTCGCCAACGACACCCAATTTATGGCCACGGTGCATGGACACATGCCATTTGAAGACGTGGATGCGCTGCAACCGGTTCTAGCTCAATGCATCGAAAACCGAATTTATTTGGTTTGCGACTTCTCGAGCTATGTAGACAGAAAAAAAAACAGAAACAACGAGAAGCTTCATTCTTTTTTTGGAGCAGTGACGCATTTCCTAATGTGAAAATAAGCGTCTTGTAGCTTTTGACTTGTCCTTTCCACATTCGCAATATTCTGAGACGGGTATAAAGAGCAATGTAGCTACAATCTCAGAGAAAAATTAGATACATGTTTTATTGAATTCCGTGCAGGATTTTTTGCATGAGGCCCATTTGCATGTTTCAGGAAGGCACTCACGCCGTGTGTCATCTTATAGCGATGTTTAATTAGTCGTTGTTACCAGATGCACAATGCTTTCCGGTAAAGGACCAAATGTCGCTACTGTATTTAAGAAGCCTACTTTCAATTAGCAAATATTTCAGCCCCCCTCTTATTCAGATTTCTGTTTTACATATGTGTACCAAGTTTCAAAATGATCCGTCGTTAGATAAAAAAGTTTTATTTTGACCAAGACGCCCCTCTTAAAGGATTCATGTTTCATGAACTGCATGTGGATGACACTCACGAGATCGAGGGGCATTAATTTTCTTTCCATCAAAAACTGACTGTTTAATTAGTTTAGCACGATTTCAGTGCCCAAATTAAGGGATATTATTTCTAAAATTTCAGGTCTTTAAATGTGCTGAATTGAACAATATTTTCCGAAATATTTTGCTCAAGCGATACGTCTCGCTTTGGAACAGCTGTTACGGGCGATATCGCCCCCCTGTGGGCGGTGGCAAGATCTGGGGGGGGGGGCGGTGAGGAAGAAAGGGGCAGTTTGGGGGCGGCAGTCCGCGAAGTCGAAGTCAGAAGTTCGTACGCCTGTTTGACGATTTTTACACAACACGTGCAGAACATGACTCCGAATCGAATAAATTTTCCCGAGCTAAAAATCACCGTTTGGCAGTTAGAGATTTTATATTGAAAATTTCGTTCGAATCTGTTCAGTAGTTTGGAAGAATTTTTTTGATCACTGCGAATTTCGGCCCGTATCGCCATATACCAAAAACCGGAATATGCATATTTCGGAAAAAATAATTTCTAAGAGATGATTCAGCATCGGTGACCACACATGGTCAGGTTTAAGTCCGGTTCAAGTCTAAATGGTGGGATATAATACTAGGGAAATCCCCAACAAATATTTATTTAAATGACTGGCACACAGATAGTTCATGACGGACAGCAGGACGACCGACGTCGGATATGCGGATGACGGACGTCGGAGGGAGGACGACAAAAGTCGGTCGAAGTGTATCGCCGTCAAGCCCGAGGCTTCAATAACTAAACGGGAGCTTGAATGTACGAAAGTATAGGCATACGTGAACAGGTCGACCCTAAACTGGCCCCAAATGGAGAGAGAGACCACATGAATTATCACTACCAGACACATGATCTCGTATTGTGCTGCTACGATCAAACATCTATACATTAGCTTCTATAGTTCAAATTTCAAGGTTGAATATATTGAAGTGTATTCACTTAGTCTAAGGTTTGATAAACTAAAAGAGCGAATGAAACCGCGGCCGGTCAGTCTGACTTCGGCCGAACAAGTGCAGGCGTAGGCGCGATCAGCAGACGTCGGTTACGCCGCTGCCCGTGGTCACGTCTAGGGTACAATTTATCACGGGTCGAATATCGTTTCAGACACCATATAACTCCCGAATGAGGGTGAAATTTAACAATTGTTCACGATCTAAACATCACCGTTAGGTCCTAATGAATGCGTGTTCCAAGTTGTATCGAGCTGCGTTCATTAGTTTGGGAGATATTCTTTGGTCACTGAATTTGAAGATTGACCGTGAGACCGGCTGTGAGACCGGCCACGAGTCCGGCCATAAATTTGTCGTTTTGAATTTCTAGCGCTGAAACAGTTAAAACTGTAAAAAATTATATTGGTTTACTAAATGAGATTGTATTTGTGAAATACACATTTGTGTTTAACTTTTCTCTGTTAAAATTGCAGCGTACTAAATATCAGGAAAGAGGCGTTTGTTTTTATATGTGCCTGTCGGGAAGGGAGGGGGGTTGCCAGGCTGAAAAAGCTTTGGAACAACTGCTTTGGAATATTATCAAGAATACTGTACTGCTGTTAAATCTTGACTTGTTCTGCAAGATCTACCTGACCTCAGCAATTTCGTTGTTCGCAACAAGTTAAACTCTTTTGCTTGATCTGACTCCAAAAGATCTCAATATCATGCGAATTTTTGGATATAAAAAAACTATTATTTTTTTAATTATTTATTCTGTCAATTGATTCATGCATTGTCTCCGACTTTACGCATGTGTGCAAAATTTCAGATCGATTTGACATGTAGAAGTGTGTTAAATATTGATTATAAAATTTGTTGCAGGCAAAAAAACAAGCAAGAAGTGAAGTTAAAGAGAAGTGTAAAAAGTGCTGCACTCGAAAATTTAGAGCTCATAATTAAATATTGGACCATCAAAATATCTAAAATGAATTAGACTCTACAAACCCTAAAATTACAACGAAATGAAATCTCACAATAATCAAGATTCCTAGTAATAGTCGGAGAGAGAATTTCAAAACAAAATGTTTTTCCTTCTAACCCAAAAAACCGTATATATGCAATCGTTTTCACCAAACGATCCACATTTTATCGTTCTACTGATAGCGGTGACTGTGATTTTGCGATTGAAGTTTAAATGACCACCTACTTCGATATTAATACAAAATTCTTTAAGGATAACTTAGAGAAACAGAAACATAATAAGAAATAAGAGTTAAGTGAGCTATAACAGAGGAGGCCGGGCGGTCAAGCACAACTAAATTGAAGCAGGTCAAGCAGCATTGAGTTGCATGTTCGAGACCTGCAATAATCGGTGACTATGTATTTGCCGGAATGCAAATACATATAGACATACTAAACGTTATTATGCCCCTTTTGTGTTCTTCACTAAATTCAAAATTTAATTTCAATTTATGTTTTCTCCATTTTCGCAATTGGAGAAATGGCTTGTCAGAATACCATCAAACTAATGATATTGAGACATTGAATTCTGAATGATTTTATTCATAATGCTAACATTCAAAACACTCTGTTAGTGCCGCAGAAACGAATCAAAATACATTTTAAAATTTAAAACACGTTAAAAAATTTGATTGAATAATGTGACAACTGACAACGCGATTCTCCTATGCATGCAACGAGACGAAGTAAGGTAAGTAATATAACTTGAATTGTACAACAGTCATTTGGTTTCTTATGATACTATTAATGTTACTGTCTTTTATTAAAAACAACAATCGTAACTACCTAGTAAGGGGAAACACGGTGAAATTCTAAAAAATATAGCACGTAAAACAACTCATAATCAGATGTAAAGGGTTTACGTAAAATTGAATCACATTTTTCAATGTCTGTATGTTTTATGCGCAAATATTACATTCCAAAACCAGTAAGTGCTTATCAATACACTTCAGAACTATAATTTCTCCAATTTAATATTAAGGACAAGAAGGTTAGCCCGGCGTTACTCAGTCTTGATAATTCCTGTTATTTGGTATCCAAATCCAGTCAATTGCGCAATTCCTAATTTCGTTAATAATAATTAAATTCACGTAATCTCATTGAATAAAGACCCTTCCAACCTACATCTTACATGGAAGATAGCACTCTATTTTACCTCCACTCTAAAATATGAAAAAACTATTTTGCCTCTTAAAATTGAAATTGAATTTACCAATTGCAAAGTCGAATGTTTATTCTTAATTCAATCCTTTCCTCCCTTTCCTCCAATTTTTTCCAATTCTCCCTATGTAAAAACGAAAATACAGGCTCTGGTAATATCATGATAAGTGTAGTGTCGTGTCACTCAGCCCATATATATATGCGGTGCCAGGCTTCAAACACACTAATAATCACACACACAAACTCTAATAAATAGGTATAAAAGATTCAATGAAAATATCAGACATGCAATTGCTCTGCTGATTTCAAGCCTGTTATGCATCAGCGATACGTCGGTGATACTTCCAGTCTATTACGCATCAGAGTTGCATAACACTTGTGCACCTTATGGCATTTTTGCAAGAGAATCTCCTGAATAATTTAATTTAGAACAGGAAAAATGAAAGAATTATCATAAAATAAGAGAAAAATATACTACTCCGAACTTGATACACTTAATCAACAAAGCTGGGATATACTGAAGTGAAGAGAATATATTTCTTTTTAATTGCAGCCAGGCCTCAAATTTTTATCAGCAACAGGTATAATTTAAAGTTGAACAGCGCTGAAGTTTAAATTTAACAGAGGTGAAGCCGTGTCAGATGTATATGAACTTTGCTCAAACAATAACCACGATGATGAAAGTGATTTTAGATAAATATTTTTTCATTCGTAGTGGCCCTGTGAAGCATTTTATTGTTCAGAATATCATTACACTATTATGCCTTTGTCGCCTGTTAAGAATTAGATGTTGTCTTTCTTCTCTCCAAGCTATTTCCAAGCTGATGGTTGACCTGAAAGCCTAAAAATTTAAAACATGTCAGCAGAATTCTTGCTCTGTTTTAATAACAAGATTGAAGATTGAAAGTGTAACTTAATTATTTGGATTCTGACCACAGCAAACGCAATACGTTGACAGCTTTTTCTCGTATGCTTATCCCAACCCGAGCCCGAGGAGAGTCCCTGCGGTCGTTGCCACCGTGGGCACAGTTTGTACCGTGGGCACAGTTTGTACCGTGGGCACAGTTTGTACCGTGGGTACAGTTTGTACCGTGGGTACCGTTGCTGCTGCACTCGCGGTGCTGCTCGATGCGTCTGCTGATAATGGAGTGCATTACGTTCAAGATTCAAATCTAAAAAAAATATTGCTCAATAATTTTAATTATTGAGCTGACACATCGCCAATTGCTGACCATCGCCTGACACATCGCGCTATTAGATCTGACACATCGCCAATTATTATAATTTAACGGGAAAAAGTGATGAATAAGCTGTAATTGCTGTAAAAATACCACTATTGAGGATCTGAGGATAGTATTGACAGATTTATGCTTCAACGATAATTTCATACATATCACTTTAGATAAAATTACTGGAAATATCTGACCAGCTTTAAACCAAGTTTGACTGTGTGACGCCTCCTTGGTCCTCGTGGCAGTCGGTGCAGTGTCAGTCATCGCGCACTCATCAGTGTTGGAGTCAAACGACAGTGCAGTGCAGTTGATAAGCACTGCGCACCGAACCTTGCAGTGGCCTGTGCAGTAATAAAAGAATGACTCTGACACAGGAGTCTTTCTGACATCCAATGAACATCATCTAAATATTCGCATGCAACTTAAATTAACTCAACTCATCCTTAAATTTCAACCAGCCTCAAATTTCTAAAAAATTATCGATTGATGTTTGTAATGTGTACACATGTTTAAATATACCAAAAATGAGAACCGTAAAATTGTTGAACACAGTATCATTTTCACAAATAGATTCTAGCAAAAACAAAAAAAAAAATATGTTTATATATATATATTCTAAAAAGACGCCTGACACATCGCCAATTTACAGCAAAAAGTGCACGGGAAATTCTTTAATACATCACTATGTACAATATAAACGCTAGCGATTAAAAATAATTACACATGTTCCTGTTACTGGGATCTAAATACGTTATAAATTTTGTAAAATTCGTTTGTGTGTTTGCCTGGCACCGCAAATATTCATGGGCTGTTTATTCGGGCTCGACATCATATCGAGTCGAGATATTACGTGGACCTGAAAATTGTACCTTAATGTTAGAACAGTGGGGATTGCAAAACTGCAAGGAACTTATTAGATCAAAAATATAAATTGTTTTCCAATTGGTGAATGTGATTTGATTTAAAAGAGGTAAAATATATTTTTTTAATGAAAGTTGGGAGCTTGAACGGGCTTTTGAACGAGTCTTTTTTAAATTAACAAACATAAATTTATTTTTATTTATGAGATAAAGAAAGATCGACCACAGGCAAGGTCGGCTTAACGCCCGAGCGCATATCTACGACAAACTTCGTGTCGTGGATATTACTTGTACTTTGGTGAAATCGTGGAACAATCAGAAAAGGAAAAGTGGACTTTAAAAAAAAGTTTAGATGTAATTCTTACTCTTTAGGGCGGACTTATTATTCTGTTATTCTTCCAGCGTTAGATAGGCATGGAACTAATGAAAAGGGTGCGTACCGGTCATGGAAAACCTGGAAACAATTATGTGATGAGTATATGTACAACAAAATGGGTCACCCATCATATTATACAAGGTGATGGGTGAACGACAAAATGATGGGTTATGGATATACCCATCACGTTGTCGTATACATTGTTTCCAGGTTTTCCATGACCGGTCTGCACCCTGAATGAAGTCTTGCTAGCAATTATATGAGATACAACAGCAAAGTTCATTTTGGCCGTAAATGTACCGCCTACAATTAAGCTATGGGTTCGCAAGATAATCACATGTATAGTTTACTGAATATTCGAATCTACGACAATTATCTTGTGTTCGACGTATTGATAGAAATTGTCCCTCGTAACTCCACACACCTTCTGGCCTTGATTACAGAGGAAAAAAGCGTGCCAGTGACATTGTAATTTCAAGGCCTTTGACAGTTAGTCGAGTGGTCATAAAATCTACGACTTTCCTCAAATTATGAACAAGATATGCGAAAAATTGTGATTTAAATTTTTAAGATTTATTGTTTACTATCATAAATTTACTATTAATTTATTCTACTACATAAATGGTAATAATATCATTTAATATTGGCTATCTTGAATAGGAATAGAATACTGAACAACAATGAAGCCATCACAGCACAACGCTGACGCTCATTGTAACGCTATAACAAACGCTAAAAGGACGAAACCACACAACGCTAACGCTCAACGTGACGCTGTAACAAACGATATAACGACAAAACCTCACAAAGCTAACGCTCAACGTAACGCTGTAACAAACGCTAAAACGACAACACCACACAACCCTAACACATAACGTAGCGCTATAACACAATACCACACAACGCTAACACATAACGTAGCGCTATAACACAAGACCACACAACGCTAACACATAACGTAACGCTATAACACAACACCACACAACGCTAACAAATATCGTAGCGCTATAACACAACACCACACAACGCTAATACATAAAGTAGCGCTATAACAACACCACACAACGGTAACACATAACGTAGCGCCATAACACAACGCTAACACATAACGTAGCGCTATAACACAACACCACACAACGCTAACACATAACGTAACGCTATAACACAACACCACACAATGCTAACACATAACGTCGCGCTATAACACAACACCACACAACGCTATCACATAACGTCGCGCTATAACACAACATCACACAGCGCTAACACATAACGTAACGCTACAACAACACCACACAACCCTAACACATAACGTAACGCTATAACAACACTCACAGAGCGTCATGTTGGACATCTTGACGGTGGGAGCCGACAGCGCTATACCTTCCTGTGGCGCGTCGTATATGTCACCCGCAACTGTACTTAGCGCGGTCACAAGTAGGAACTTCGTAAGACTTATCTTTATACCCATTATTTAGCCCTTCTTCTTTTGATTGCTTTAAAATTATTAGCGTAATTTGTGATGTTATTTATACCTGTAATAGTAAAATAATAAGATAAGTTATTATAATTTTTAATTCGACCCTGGCCAGTCTGCGTTCATGAAACATGTATTTGAAATCACTCCAGTTAGTTTATCTAAACTTTGAGCACAAACATTATTTTATGATGCAATAAACATTAGTCATAAAATTTCCCGTAAGATTTGACCAGAAAATTCAGCATTGAGTATTAATTCCAAATGATTAATATTCACCAATATTCTAAAACAATCAGCAGATTATATATTAATGACTAAGCACTAATATCGAAACACTAATATAAAATCTCTGATATTAAAAGCACTAATATCAAAATATTAATATTAAAGCACTAATATTAAAAGCACTAATACTAAAAACACTATTGTTAAAAACACTAATATTATGAGCACCCACATTAAAAGCACTAATAATAAAAGCAATAATAATAGAAACACTAATATTAAAAGCCCTATTATTAAAAGCACTCACAATAAAACCTCTAATATTAAAATTACTAATATTGAAAGCACTAATATTATAAGCACTCACATTAAAAGCACTAATATTAAAAGCACTAAAATTAAAAGCACTAATGTTAAAACACTAATATTAAAAGCACTCACAATAAAAGCACTAATATTAAAAGCACTCACATTAAAAGAACTGAAATTAAAAGCACTAATGTTAAAAGCACTAATATTAAAACTTGAGGGTTCCCAGTGCTCAGCAATGAAACCCAGTCCACGCAGAACAGTCCACGACAGTCGCGCACGGACGCCAGTCCACGCAGATCAGTCCACGACCGCTTAGTGGCAAATATTGGAATGTCCCTCAGGAAGTCATGTAGCTAATGATGTTTATGCACGTCGCCTTAGAAACACTTTTTTGCTCTGGAATATAAGAACTTTTTGGCTTGAACTTATTTATTATTCAATGACTAATGAGACTTGTTCAGACTTGAATGTCTCGTCAGCCATATTTGATTGACAGGTCGTACTATGAGCACTATGATAATGAGTGTGCGCGGTGAGTGTCATGATTCTATTAGGAGTTTAGCCGGTTGGATATTTGTTCAGTTTTATTTTATGTGTTGCTGAAAACTCGACAAGACGTCAATCATGATACAGCGTTGCTGAAGGCAGCTCTCCAATTTCCACGATATAAATGATAATGTGATAAGTTTTAATATTAAAAAATATAACTCAGTACTCACTGCAGTGAGTGACAGAGCTCATCGTTAAACGTTATGACTTTATTTGCTCGTCGACGAAAACGTGAAGTCACGGACAGACAGACGGACATGACGAGCACAATATAGTGCTTTTTTTCTATAAATGAGAAAATGCGCTAAAAATCGAACAACGATACTCGTTATGATTATTATTAATGTACGTTTTTTGGGGCTTTATCTTGAGAGCGGTGATCAAGTGTGCGTGTGCGCAAGTAATTTAACTTATGGTATAATTGAGGCTCGAGTTCATGTGAACATCATATAAGTTAGACGGCTACTTATGTTTCTCTCTTGCCATTATAGCGTCCCTAGGTTCAGTCTCATTTAAAATGAGCGAAGCATAATTATTAAATTGCCTACTTTTAATAATCACTTATACTATTTTCAATGCTCCAACGTGGCTTAAGTTCCATGAAATGCCAACCTTAATTTTTCACCGCAGAAATATTTATAAAACAATAACTGATATTTAATTGACAATCATTAACCCGACCGCGCATCTCTGTCAGAAGTAATTTATGCACATCAAATATTTAAATGACTCCGTGGTCATCAATATAATCCTATTGGATTATATTGGTGGTCATATAATCCATCAATATATTCCTATAATCTTAATCGTGGTCATCATATAATCCTCCGCGGTCGTCAATATAATCCTATAATCCTGAGAAATGTTGTCGTAAACCAACTACCTTTAACGGTTAAGCCGTCGAAAATCTTTTAGTTATAACAATCAAGCTTCACGTTCGTGGCGTGCGTGGCGTCCGTGGCGTGCGTGGGAGCAACGCGTCCGTGACGTGCGTGGGAGCATCGCGTCCGTGGCGTACGTGGGAGCAATGCATACTCATACGACCAGAATCTCGTCGCCTGTGAATATCTCCCAGTTAATATAACATTTGAATACGAATTTGTTGAGGACAAATCCTAGTACAGTTTGCAATCGAATAACGTAAAGCCTGCTGCACGTGTCTTAAAAAATGGTCATTACTTCATGCTTCATGTCTTGTGTTTATTCTTGAAATTGGTTTCACTCACTTCTGCGTTACTCGGGTTCATTGTACTGTATACACAATTGGGCAGTACTGTTGTAATGGGTCGTCTTTATTAGTTAAGCGAGGGAAGGTATTCAAGGTTCTTTAAAATCTAAAGGGTTAAATAAAAGATGGCCTCCCAACTCCCCTTATAGCCATCCCTGTCCACCAGGTGTTTTTCTCTTTTTTGTTCAACTTTATTTAATTCTAATACAAAACTTCATTATAAAGGGACTTAAAATTTAAACCTAAGAGAAAACTCTAAAACAAAAGACTAACCACATAACTGGATAACCGTATAACAGTTAACTGGGAAGCTGGGTGGAACCCAACTAAAGGTATCACCTTAACTACAAGCTGGATAACTGGGCAACCAGAACCGTATATCCAAATAACAGTATAACTGCTACACCGGACACTAGGCAACTAGGCAACCGGGCAAACGGTACAACCGTACAACCGGACTACCGGACAACTGGGCTACCGGACAACCGGGGTATGGGCCGCTCATTAAAGTACTTGAAGATGCTTCTGTAAAATATTTACATTATCAACACCTAACACACTATTATGAAACACAACATCAATACAAACTTCAAAACATATATACACAATAAACTATCAAGCAGGATAACAGATATATATTTATTTCTCATCTATAACGGTATTCTCAAAAACACAACATTAAAATCTTCATCAATGAATATATAAGCAGTGATTTGAAAATGTATATTTTGGTAACTACTCACCAACCACAGGCAGTAGCGTGAGTACGATATAATGGCAGATAGGAGATTTGGAACTTTAATCAATCACCACTGACACATAAAATAATGGTCTGCAAAAAGGCAAAGAGAATGAGATGGAGAGCACTGATAACACAAATATTGATGTTTGCCATGAATTTCAAGATTCTAAATAATTTCACATCAACTCGGAACTGGGGGAGCGTTACTTCCCCAAGTGGGATCAAGGTTACCACCACTCTCCAGCAGTAAGAGTGACAGCCCATAACACTGTATTTGCTGTACTAGAGTTACGTCATCATATCAGCACTTACGCCACTCGTAAGTCGATTTTGCGTATTTACGAAGTTTTGATAGCACGGCCCCTGAGAACATTCAACGGAGAAAGTGTGGGTCAAAGTATAGCTTTCTTTATACGTTCATGACGTTTATATTCTATGCATATCCTCAATTAAGGTTGCTGCGACTTACAAGAGCGTCGCGCACTTCAGAAACGTGTGCTCGCGTTAACAAGTGCATGGCTGACACTAATGAGACCAGCGAACTACCTCAAAATTTCTTGGTTAGGGAAAATTTTCACGTTTAATTCAAAAAGTTATTAATACTAATACTATTTAAAAACTGCTGAACTGACACTCATACAATTATAACCGACTTTTTTATTTTCTATCGCGCCATGACAAATTACAACTATTCAAATGAAATACATTTAGCTGAAATGAGGTAATACGTTTAAAATATATACAGAATGTGTGTTTATACGTATATCTGAAAACTGCTGATATACAAAAAGCTATTAGGTCGTTTATCGGCGAAAATTATGGCATCCGGTTATTACCCGGATTTCCTCTAATTCATTTATGTAGTGCGGACTAGTGCGGCATTTCAAAACAAGGGAAGGAAATGAAGGCTGGAGAAAAAATGATCCGTTTGCAGATAATGCTGTCTCTACAAACAAAACTCTAAAGTGGTCAAAGAACAGTAAATGGCAATGAATAAAATCAATTGGGAGTCTCTCACCTAAATAAAGTTAGAGCGAGCACGCAATATAGACTTGAATAAATATAACGAATTCATCGAATGATCATTCAAACAAAAATAATAGAACTTAATGAAGGTATGGCTGCATATAAAGACAGCCATAGCACGTCCAATATAACTAATACGTTCACCATTCAGTTCCGATATCAACAAGACTATTTATAGATCCATGCCTATCGATAGGTTTAGAGAAATCCAAGCAGTCAACGAAATTAGGAAAATTATAACAATTTAACAGGCATTTCTGGAATTTTTACATTACTCTGACGTAATTTAGTACATTTCCAACAATTACAGTTTGCTGGAATGACTTACTGCTAGAATTTAGAAACCTAATTGACTTAAATTTTACTTAGCCTTTCATAGTTTTCGTTGGTTATTATCAAGAGATCACATTGATTCATCGATTATATATTTATTTCTTCAGTAATAATGAAATCTGTTAGAAATTTGGCAACGTGAGCTCTGTTTAGGGTCACAACGCGATACCATCAGAATTGATGGAACGCATGCTGAAGTTTTTGCTCGTTGCGACACTCTAGTTGAATTTTTCTTGCAAGAGCACACATTGCTCCTGCAATCTAGTTAATAATTCTACCCGAATCTAAAATTCCAGTCTTTCTGACAGAAGGAGTTATAATATGGACTGTTCTTTTACACATTTTTATATTTATAATTCCCAACAACGCACGTGTAATGATGCCAACATAATTACTCAGAAAGCTATTACAGGGTCTACGGCATAGGTCTCCATGCTACCTTAATTATTTGGCTATCGGAGATGCTACAGCGGTGAGGGTCGCTAGTATAATTTTTTCAATCTCCCACTGACAAATTGAAATCAGTTAGAAATTTGTTTTGTCAAAATTAATACTTCAGCTCCTATATTCAGGAACCAAAATATGTTCACATTTTTAAACGATTTATATGTACCTATATGTAA